AAAAAAAATGAAGTAGTGATTGATCGAACGAGCACGTTTGAAGTATGAAGAAAGAAAAAGAAGTTAAATACACTGAAGCTGAAAAGTAACTCTAATTGAGACCAAAGGGTTAATTAGCCTTAGTTAAGTTCCAACTCTAGTTAGGGTTTACCACCAAAGTTGGTGTAAAAATATAAAAAGCAAATCTCAACCTAATTTTTTTTTTATTAATCTCAATTACAGAATTTTTTTTTTGGGCATTTCAGATTTGTCCTTTGGTTTCTGGGGTTTTGACAAAAGTTTCATTTCCCCAAATTTCAATTTGGTGGGAAAAATATTGACGAAATTCAATTGCTGGTGATTCAAATTATACTGTTCACTGGTAATTTTTCAATTTTCAATTGATTTTTCGTATTTTGAACAAAAATGTTGGTATCCAATCTTGGGTTTCAGCCGGAGTATTGAACGTTTATAACCTTAATTTGTTGAGATCGATTTTGACTTTGTAATTTTCGTGTATCAGGATGTTTGGTAATTTTGTTGCTTTAATTGTAACTTGAATTGTTCCGTCCGTTTAGAGCTTTTGAATTAAGCTTATGATGATTCTTAGTTTCCTTTCTGTTGTTTCTTTGTTCCTTCTCTTTTTGATCATGCACGTTAAAGTAACTTGAAAATGAGTTCTGGCCCGGTAAAAGAATATTTATGTACGAGCTAAGCCTCTTGCAGTACATCTTTACATGTTGATGCATGCTGTTGAATGGTACAAGGAATAAAATTCTTGTAAATGATGGTGTATGGATGTGCATTTGGTTGTTGACAAATGATATGTTTGGAAATATTGAAATGAATTATTTAGTTACTGTAGGGGTGTGTTTGAATTGAATTTTGAATGCTAGCTCGTAATGGTATCTAGGAATTTCTTGCTATGTTTCACCATGATATTCACTACATTTTTTTCCCCAGGTAAGTTGACCCAGTGTATGTGGGCCCCTTTTCAACTACCAACCTAAGATTTGTGTTTAAGAACTCATGTGGGTCATTTTTCGTTTTATGGATTTGAAAAAAGTTACGAACCACTGAATCTATATTCACCTTAAATGGCAGGTTTGCTTGGTCCGGTGTAATTTATGAGTGGTCGAGACTTATATGATGCATCTATTTGGGATTGAGATTCTGTATTAATGTCAATTGCCGTCCCATTTTTAATCACGTTCAGTAATTATTAAAGTTTTTCATAATTACTTTTCTCGTTTCTCTTGCTATGAATCAGGTATTTGACGATTGAGATTTAAGAGTATCTTTTCTGGGGAGATCCTGGATTCAACGTTAGACTTTTGTGTCAGTCAGGCTGATCTTTAGGTTTTCAGCTGTTATCATGCCATTCTGAGAGTGAAATCAATTATCAGGTGAACATTTTGTAGTCACATCATTGCGACACTATGGAGTGCAACAGAGATGAAGCCCTAAGAGCAAAAACAATTGCTGAGGACAAGTTAGAGGAAAAGGATTTTGCTGGTGCAAGAAAATTTGCCTTGAAAGCACGTATTTTATATCCAGGACTTGAGGGTATTGCCCAGTTGTTGACAACACTTGATGTGTGTATTTCATCGGAGAACAAAACTAATGGGGAAGTAGACTGGTATGGAGTACTTGGTGTAAATCCATCCTGTGATGATGAAACAATAAGAAAACAATACAGGAAGTTGGCTCTCCTGCTTCACCCTGATAAAAATAATATTGTTGGTGCTGATAGAGCATTTAAACTTCTTTCAGAAGCCTGGAGCTTGTTATCAGATACAGCCAAGAGGTTTGCGTATAATCAAAGGAGGGGTTGTAGAGGAGTCCAACAGAAAGTTCCCATGCATGCTGGTGGTCCGTCTGCTGCATCCTGTGCAAATGGATATCATAATGTTGCACGTAGGACAACATCAGTTCTGAAGACGAAGAACAATGGTGCAAAGGTGTGCCCCACAATCCACATCAGTTCCTACTCCATCCCATTCCAGGACTGATACTTTCTGGACCATTTGTCATCGATGCATGATGCATTATGAGTATCTGAAGACATATCTTAACCAAACTCTTCTGTGTCCCAATTGTCACAAGGCCTTCCTGGCTTCTGAGGCGGCTTCACCTTTGAATAGTTCCAAATCTTCCAATCCTGCTCCTTCCCAGCGGTATCAAAATTCAAGCAATTGTGCACCTAGTCAGAATGCTTTTGATAGAGGAAGAAATGCTGCCGCTGCTAAAACATCAGGTCCAGGACAAGCAGATCCAAATTCATTTAAACATGCAAGCTTCCGGCAGGATTCACTATCTGGAACAGTTGGTGTTAGTGGCAAGGATCCTTCTTTCACAACAAAAGCAGCAAATGTTGTAAAGCAAGTACAACAGAAATTAAAGAGAGAGCATACTGAATCAAACGCCCCTACCGATTTGGAGGGAGATATTATAAAACAAAAACTAGATAAGGATGGTTATCATTATGGAATGAACAATTATGTGGGCCGGGAAAATGGTGGTTTTGGAAGACCAGATATATCAAGGATCTATCATTTTCCTGGCACTTACAGTCAGCCAAACAACTCTAGAGATCTGACACTGCTTGAAACCCGATGCTGATGGAGAAGAGTAGAAAGGAGTTTCTGAAGAAGCTAAATGAATGGAAATCAGGGACTCCAAGCAACACTGTGAATAGAGAGAGCAAGAAAATAACAGAAAGCAAGAGAGAGAAAGATAAACGCACCCATAGTGGGAAAGTCGGGTTGTCTTCCGTGGTAGAAGAGCTGGAAGACAAGCGTCATGTTAGTTGTTCAGCTGATAATGCGGATAAGAAGAATATCATGTCACTATCACTGCATGTTCCAGATCCCGACTTTCATGATTTTGACAAGGATAGAAGTGAAAGTTCTTTTGGCGATAATGAAGTTTGGGCTGCTTACGATGATGACAATAGTATGCCGCGTTTTATGCTCTAATTAACAAGGTGATATCTAGCAAACCATTTAAGGTGAGGATCAGCTGGCTTAACTCAAAAACCAACAGCGAATTTGGTCCCATAGACTGGGTAGGCTCAGGTTTCTACAAAACCTGTGGGGAATTTAGAATTGGCAGATATGAAATCTGCACATCTATTAATTCTTTTTCTCAGAAGGTTGTTTGGTCAAAAGGCCCACGAGGGACTATTCAAATATTTCCCAAAAAGAGTGATGTTTGGGCACTTTTTAAAAATTGGTCATCTGATTGGAATGAACGTACTTCTGATGAAGTTATACACAGTTATGACATGGTGATGGTGCTTGATGATTACAAAGAAGAGGGCGTGTCTGTTGCTCCTCTTGTGAAGGTGATCGGTTTTAAGACAGTATTTCGTCCAAATTTGGAGCCGGAAATGGTCAATAGAATCCCCAAAGAAGAGATGTTCCGATTTTCTCATCAGGTCCCTTATCACTTGCTTACTGGTCAAGAAGGTCAAAATGCGCCAAGAGGTTGCTTGGAACTGGATCCAGCAGCTACCCCATTGGAACTTCTTCAGGTAATAGCAGAGTCTCATGAGGTGCCAGTCATACCAAATGAAGGAGAGATTAAGAGGTAATGCCGAGTGTTCCCGACACCAGGGTGGATGAGATTGATGATGGGCTAGTGATACAAGAATAGTCTAGAGTCGAGGAAGGTAAGAAAATTGTCTTGCCAAGTTAGGCAACAAAGCAGCAGACAGTGCTTAAATGGATGTGCAACTTGCTGGAGATACAGTTAGCGTGAGGGCCTTTTCAATTGGGCAACACTAATTGAAGAAGATTGGCACTTAGGTCACAAGTGGAGTTTCGTCATTTTTTGTTTTTTTTTTTTTTTAAATCTTGTGTTGTTGAGAACTCGAGATGTTTACCAGTTATTATTGCCAGTCAAGTCTAACTCATGGTTGACTGAATTGAATATAGTCGAGAAGATAAAGAAACAGGTAAGAGAGATTGCTTTATGTCAACTGAAAATGATGTAAAATAGGCATATAATCTTTAATTTTCCCGGTGGTTCTGATTCTTAGCATCAAATATATTGAATTCATTTGTTTAGAAGACTAGAAACATGATCTGTGGCAATATTTTGCGAGTTGCTGGTATTTTTTTCTGGCCTTGGATCTGTTTCTACTCTTATAGCATTTTTGTGAGGAGAAAAAATGAGCTTTTTTTTTGCCAATGTTGCTTTTGTTTTGTTATCATTTTGGTAGTTAGGAAGCCTATAGTACCCTAATGTGTGAAATCTCATTAAAATTTCAACTCATTTGTCTGTCTTCTTTAATCATATTTAGTACTTTATAATCGAGCCTATGATATCACTAAGTTGGCAATTACTCTCTCCTAGGACTGATCGCTCTGCCATATTATGTTTATTTTTTGATGTTTTCGACTTTCGAAAATTGAATTTTGATTAGGACGAACTATGTTGTATAGATGTAGTGAGAGTTTTGTAAAAACGTTTATATGTTGTCAAACACGAGACACAAAAAATATGATTATTGAATACCTAATTTATACTTGTTCATAAAACAATCATGCTATATATACATCATGATTGACAATAAGTTTGTTACTCCATGCAGTAACAATTGATACACCATTAATTTTAAACACATCTATTCCATCACTGTACATTCCATCCACGTTGGGGGATGCCAATCAAGGATGTACATCTAATTTAATTTTTCATAAATTTGGTATCACCTTCAGTTCCATGTATGATTGACATGTGATATATCAAATCGATATCATTTCTACCCGAATCATGCAACACTGTCAATCTATTTGACATAATGTTACACGATGTTCTATTATTGTTCTGTTTTAAACATAATCATTTTTTCATCAAATCATCTGCTGCAACCTCGAATTATGTCACTATATCTGTTAAATTTCTTCTAATAAAGTGGTAAAAACCTCTCTGCCCACCGTAGATTTAGAGACCAATTAGCAGCCAATATTATTGTACTTTTGAAAAACATTTCACAAATTTGATTGGATCAAAGAAACTGACAAAAACAAAGATAATCTCAAACCTTAACTTTATGCTCTAAAAGGAGGGATTCCACTAACTTAAAAGGAGATGAGATTTAAGAGTGATTCCACAAACTGATGTTGATTGTTGATCCAAAGTTGATTGAGGCGGTACAAGAATGAATGAATATGGTCTGCCTGCCATATTAGACATGTAATTTTTGTTAGTGGAATCTGAATCAAATTTCCTTTTGTGTCCAATCAAATCAAATGAAATATTCTTGGAAAGGATTTTTCAAATCTTTGTAATATGTTCCTTCTTCCTTTCCAAAAGTAGGTTAGGAAATGAGTGGTAAGTTGTCTCACCAACAAGATAAATTACTTGAATAAATTGAAAACTTCACGAAAGAAATGTCATCATATACTCTTCACTGCTTAAAAAAATTTACTATTTATTATGTTCGATGATGCTTAAAAATAGACATTCCGAGTCTGTCCCTTGCTATTTTCCGTTGCAGAGGTACTCTCTCCATTGTTGTTCAAGGATGGGAAATGTAAATCTATAGCAAACTCATTTGTTCATTAATTAGATATAGACTTTGTTGTGTTTATATATAGCAAGTGTACAATATCGTAACAAGTAATATAATGGACATTTGGATCTGTATTGTCGTTCCCACGAGGACCATACTATAATGCTTAATTTAATATTTCTAACTACTATTTGAATTTAAAAATAAAAAACAAAGTTCTAACTAATTGAAAATAATGAAATGCACGCAAAGATAGATTTAAAATTCAAATATGAACGAGATATTAGAGTATAATAATTTCATCTATTGATCACCTTCAAGTCGTAATTCAAAATTCATAATCTAATGTAATGTTTGATCGAATTCTTCTATTGTATTCAATTTATCTCTCTTAAATTCTTATTGAGCCTATTTAATTAATTCAATTTCATATCTCTGTACGAATTAATTTTAGTTAAACGAAATCTTAGTTCTAAGAATTAATATAACGACCATAATAATTGGAATAGTTATCTGTACAAGTTATACTAAATTACCGAATTTTACTATGTGGTTTAAATCTAAAAATCACCTCTCGGATCGTAAAAGATTTACAAAATCATTGAATTAGTGATCAAATAATTCAAAGCATTAAATACATTAATAAAATCAACACATATATGATAAACGCACTTGAATCTAGAATTAAAAAAAATAAATGGTCTCAATTCGATTGCATTGTTCGTCCTAATAAAAAATTTAGCTACTCATAATAATTGAAAAAAAAAAAACCAAAAGATTTGTATTGAGTACATCATCGGGTTTTGAATTGTGATGTAAAAAAAGTGGATAAATCTTGCACCAAATTCATCTTCTTCCTACAAATCTTGATTTTTTTAGTTTTCTCCTTTGATTTGGCTCTCTGATTCTTCAAGTTTTGTTCTCTGTCTCTCAATGTATGGAACCCCTCTCAAGTGCCTCCATTATTTTATTTATACTTCTCCTATTGTTTTTCCCGAATTTGGAGTTTTCATGGGCTTTAAATGGACAAAAAAAAAAAAACACCGTACCCTAGATGACAACGGTGACAACTCGGTGCCGCGAAGAAATCATAGGTGGCTCCGAGGCACCACTTTTTTGTTAAAATCTCAGGTTTTGTGGCGCATAGACGCCATGATGTGCTAGAGGTGTTAATCCGGGTGGTCCGAGTCGGGTCGGCCCGTCAAAGTATGAGTCCAATAACGGCTCGCATGAGAAAAGCCCGCCCGCTACGGGTTCCGAACCGGTTCTGAGTCGGCCCATAAATTTTGGATTACAAACCGGCCCACCCACTGACCCATCCGGTTCGAGCCCACAAAGGTCGCGGGTCGCAGTTTGTTCCGATTTGACCATATTATTGTATAAATAAAATTATAAAAATATAGAATTTTTCATATTTATAGTAAAAAATATTTTTTTTAATTAAATGTAAACTAAGAATTGAACAAAATGATAAATTCATATTTATACCAAGAAATGTTTACATAGA